TTTCTTCATTTTGTTAAGTTGTAGAACACATTGATTTTTTAAAATTAAATGTTTTACTTGTGATCATTGTAGATTCATATACATTTGTAAGAAATAATGCAGAGAGATTCCATATACCCTACACAGTTTTCCCCATTGGTAACATTTTGCAAAACTGTAGTACATTGTCACTACCAATATATTGACATGGTCAAGATACAGAATTTTTCTGTTACCATGAGGATCCCTCATATTGCCCTTTCATAGTCATCCCTATTTCCCTCCTGTCTCTACTCCTCTAGCCCCTGGGAACCACTAATCTCTTCTCCATTTCTATAGTTTGTCATTTCAAAAATGTTACACAAATGGAGTCATACAAAATGTACCCTTCTGGGGTTGGTCTTTTTTCTTTTTTTCCACTTTTTCTTGATGGTATAGATGTAGCACAGTTTCTTGATGTAGCACAGTTTTAACTGTTCATCCATTGAAGGACATCTAGGTTGTTTCTAGTTAGGGGCTATTAGGAGTAAAGCTGATATAAATGTTTATGTACAGGTTTTTGTGTGGGCTTAAGTCTTCCTATCTCTGGGATAAATGACAGTTTTAGGGTCATGTAGAAGTTGCATTTTAAAGTTAGCTTTTTATACATTGCCATGTTGTTTTCCAGAGTGGCTGCATCATACAGTGTATGAGTATTGAGATTTTCCACATCCTTGCCAGGGTTTTGTGGTGTCACTTTTTTATTTTAGCCATTCTAGTGGGTGTTCTAGTGATACCTTATTCTGGTTTTAATTTGCATTTCCATAATGGTTAATGATGTTGAACATCTTTTCGTATGCTTGTTTGCCATCTGTGTATCTTTGTTGAAATGTCTTTTTGTGTCTTTTGCCCATTTTTATTGTTTTTTTTTTTTTTTTTTTATCACTTTTTTATTTTAGCCATTCTAGTGGGTGTTCTAGTGATACCTTATTCTGGTTTTAATTTGCATTTCCATAATGGTTAATGATGTTGAACATCTTTTCGTATGCTTGTTTGCCATCTGTGTATCTTTGTTGAAATGTCTTTTTGTGTCTTTTGCCCATTTTTATTGTTTTTTTTTTTTTTTTTTTTTTTTTTTTTTTTTTTTTTTTTTTTTTTTTGTAGGTACTGGTCCTTTGTCTTTGTCAGACATGACATTTGCAAATACTTTCTCCCAGACTATAACTTTTTTAATCCTTCTAACAAGGTTTTTTGTAGAACAAAGCTTTTACTCTTCAAGAAATCCCATTGATTAGTTTCTCTTTTTATGGATCATGCTTTTGGTGTCAAATCTAAGAAGTCTTTGCTTTACCCTAGGTCCCAAAGGTTTCTCTTAACGTTTTTCCTAAAAGTTTTACAGTTTGGCATTTTACATTTAAGTCCGTGATCCATTTTGAGTAAATTTATTTACATTTAAGTCCATGATCCATTTTGAGTAAATTTATTTATTTATTTGATATTTTTTAAATTGAAGTATAGCTGATATACAATGTTACATTGGTTTCAATTGAGTAAATGTTGATGTAAGTTATGAGACTTGGGTCAAGTTTCATTTTTTACTGATGAATATCCATTTGCTCCAGTACCATTTGTTGTAAAAGTAATGTTACCTCTATTGAATTATTACTTTTGCAGTTTGTCAAAAAGCAGTTCAGCATATTTGTGTGGGTCTATTTCTGGGTTTTCTGTTCCATTCCATTGATTTATGTGCCTGTCCTCCTGTCAGTACTACATAGTCTTAATTACTGTACCTATATAATAATTCTGGAAATTGGGTAAATGATTGCTCCCATTTTCTAGTCAAAATTGATTTAACTATTTTAGTATCTTTGCCTTTCCACATAAATTTTAGAGTAATGTTATCTATATTAACAAAAAATTATTACTGGGATTTTGATAGAAATTGCATTAATCCTTATACTAATTTGGGGAAAATCAACATACTTACTGTGTTGAACCTTTCAATCCATGAACATATGTCTCTCCATTTATGTCTTTGATTTTTTTCATAACCATTGTAGAGTTTTCAGCATACAAATACTGTACACGTTTTGTTAGATTTACACCTAGTATTTCATTTTTTTGAGCAACTTTAAGTGGTATTGCATTTTAAATTTCAGTGTCCATGAAATCATTGCTAGTATATTAAAATAAGATGGACTTTTGTATCTTGTATCTGCGATCTTGCTGAACTCGCTTATTAGTTTTGTAGATCTTTGGGATTTACTTTGTGGACAATCATGTCATCTGCAGATGGCAGTATGATTTTTCCCTTTCCAGTCTGGGTGCCATCTGTTTCTTTTTCTTGCCTTATTGCAAGAACTTCCAGTGCTATGTTGAATAAGATTGGTGAGCGTGGACATCCTTGCCTTGTTCCGGATCCTGGGAAAGCATTCAGTCTTTTACTGTGAAGTGTGATATTAGCTGTAGGTTTTTGGTAGATGTTCTTCATTAAATTGATAAAATTGCTCTTCTGAGAGTTTTTATCAGTAGGTATTGAATTTTGTCAGATGCTTTTCTGCATCAGTTGCTATGATTGTGTGGTATTTCTTCTCTAGCCTATAAATATGATAGGTTATGTTGGTTTTCTAGTACTGAACTAGCATTGTGTCCTTGAATTAAACCTCATTTAATTATGGGATATAATTCTTTTTGTATGTTGTTGAATTCTGTTGGCTGATATTTTGAGAAGGAATTTTATTTCTGAACTCATGAGGGAGGTTCTGTAGTTTTGTTCGGTGGTGGTGGTGATTGTTTTGAGACTGTCTTTGGTTTTGGTATCAGGAGAATTTTTCTCCATTTGGTGTGATAAAAATGACTTTCTCATTTATTTTGTTATTGTGGTAAAATGAATTTACAGATTTCTAAAATATTAAACTAACCTTGTACTCTAGGAGTAGACACCTAAATAATGATACAGTACCTTTTAAAATGTATTGCTGGATTTGATTTTTTTTTTTTTTGAGGATAATTGGTCTGTACCTGTACAGGACGTTGTTGTTGTTGTGTTTTGGTAAGGCTTTCCATATTAAGGGTATGCAGGACTTGGTGAATGCGTTGGGAAGTGTATCATTCTGTGTTTTCTGAAAGTTTGTATAAGGTTGGCATTATTTTGTAAGGACATATTTGATAAAATTTACCGGTAAGGCCATCTAAGCCTGGAGTTTTCTTTGTGAAAAGGTTTTAAAGATTCAATTATTTTTCTTCATCTTTTAGAGCAATTTTAGGGTCATAGCAAAATTGAGCACAAAGTAGAGTCCCCATATACTCACTGCCCCTACACATGAGTAGCCTACCCCAGTATCAGCATCTTGCACAACAGTGTCACTATTTATTACATTTAATGAATATACACTAATAAGTCATTGTCACCCAGAGTCCTTAGTTTATATTAGGTTTCACTCTTCATATTGTGCTTTCTGTGGGTTTTGACAAATGTATCCATCATCATACAGAATAGTTTCATTGCCCTGTGCTCTATTTGTCCTGTCCCCAATCCCTGGCAACTGCTGATCTTTTTACCGTCTCCATAGTTTACCTTCTCCAAAAGGTCATTTGATTAGGATTATACAGTATGTAGCCTTTTCAGATTGGCTTCTTTGACTTAGTAACATTTAAGTTTCCTCTACGTCTTTTCATAGCTTGTTTTTCTTTTTAGCGCTGTATAACGTTCCATTGTCTGGAAGTATTACAGTCTATTTATTCATTCAGTCATGAAGGATATCTTTGTTGCTTCCAAGTATTTGTTGTTACGGATAAAGCTGTTATATCTGACAGCCCTTTGTCAGATAAGTTTTTTGCAGAATTTTCTCCCAGTGTATGGCTTGTCTTCTCATTCTTTTGACAGATTCAGTTTTTAAGATTTATATAAAGCTATTTACAGATTTTCTTTTTCTTCTTGTATATGTTTGGTTAACTTTTGTCTGTCAGAGAATTTTCTCTATTTCATCTAAGTTGTCAAATTTACAGGCATAAAATTATCTTTTTAATGCCTCTGATGTCCCCTTGTTCATTTGTGATATGGTCAATACGTGTTTTATCTTTTTCTTGATTAGTTAGGGATTCATCAACTTTATTAATATTTTCAAAGAGCTAACATTTGGTTTTGTTCATTTTTCTAACTGTTTCATTAATTTATACCCTTTATTTCCTTTCTAGTAACTTTGGGATAATTTGCTCTTTTTTTCCTAGCTTCTTAAGACGGAAGCTTCAGTCACTGGTTTTAAACCTTTCTTTCTTCTTTTCTAATGTGAGTACTTAAAGCTGTATATTTCCCTTTAAGTGCATCCCACAAATGTTAAGTTGTGTTTCGTTATCATTGAGTTTGAACTATTTTCTTACTTCCTTTTTGATTTCTTCTTTGACCCATAGGTTATTTAGGAATGTGTTGCTTAATTTCTAAATATTTGGGAGTATTTTAAATATCAACTTAAAATTTATTCTGGTGTCAACAAAGAATATACTTGTCTAATTTCAGTCCTTTGAGTTGAATTGATACTATTTACGGTCCAGCATATGTCGATGAACATTCCATGTGGACTTGAAAAGAATGTATATTATGTAGTTGTTAGGTGTGGTGTTCTGTAATTCCTTCAGTAAGCTTTTTTTTTTAATGTGTCCAGCATTTATCATTATAATCAGCAAGGGGGCAAGTCTGCTATGAGCTACTCCAACATTATCAATATATTTTTTATATATTATTTCTTCATAATATATTCTGTCTGGAAGCATTCTGATGGCAGATACATTAAAATATAATAGGCTAAAAAGAGGTTATGTTATGGTTTGTCTGATTTGAGTCTAGGTAAATACTGTCTTTATCCAGCACATGTGATGTAATTATAAGATCTTTATATTAAATTGATATCACTTCATTAATATGCATACTCCTACTGAAAAAAAGTTTACTTTTCATGCCTTGTTACTTAAATTAAGGGTGTGACATAATATTTGCTGAATTTATTAAAGATTAGTCTGTTTCTCAAGGTTCCTTCTCTCCACAGTGGCCTCACACCTGAAACATGGCTACAGATTGGCTGGGCAGTATTGTGTCCATCAACTGTGGAGATAGCTTGGGTGTCTATCAAGGAAGAGTGTCAGCAGTGGATCAGGTTAGCCAGACCATTTCTCTGACCCGGCCTTTCCACAATGGAGTGAAGTGCCTCGTGCCAGAAGTCACCTTCAGGTGAGTATCCTGAGTGATTGTTTCAAATCCAGTTTGATGGTCTGTGGAGCCTGAACCTAGGTCTGATTGCCAGTATTCTCTTGCATAGGACTGCTTGTGAGAAGAGTCTTGTAAGGGGTGAATTTGCAGTATTAGATCTTACAGTCCAGCTGCTGTTTCAGCAGAGACTTTGTGTTGTAATTAGCTTTCAGCTGATGATTCAGGATTTGTAAAACATTTTTCTTATCTCTGTCAGGCATGCAATATTATATAATTTAAATGGGTCAAATTCAGAATAAACTTTGTTTTCTTTTATGGTTTCAGATTTTCTTTCTCAGTTTTGCATTATTATTCGTGCTTTCTTACATCTAAGGTCTTTATTGATATTTTCCCCCATGTATAAACACATCTCTCTTTGTCAATTTAAATTACACTTCATCTCCAGGAGCACAACTGTAGCCAGTAGCTAAAGTCCTTAGTTATAAGAATGTATTTTTCTTAGTGTTTGCCATCAGATCTCAAGTTCAGTTGTCTTCAGAGCCCTCTTTTCACCAAATTGGCAGAAAACCTCCCTTTCTTATGTTTAAAAAAAAAGAGACTGTGGGGCAAGAGCTTCCTTGACTTTCTGAACAGTACCTGCACATAACCTTTTCTTTAGGTGTATCCATTCTTATTTCTGACCTCCTCTGAAGTCTCAGTAGAAGAAAGAACCTTTGTGTTCAAGGGCTAAGCATATCATGTATGCTTTATATGCTGTATTTTCTATCTCCTTTGAGACCCTCCTCCATCTCTCATGTGTCTTCAGCTTCAACTTTTATTTATACTGTCTCTTTCCTCTTTGTATTCTGACATTCCGGCGCCTCCCACATAGTAAAAACAACGCCCACACACCCCTTGCCTTTGCTGCTAGGTATTGTGCTGTCAATTCCCTTCTCTTTGGACCCATAGGAGTTGGTATGAGCAAAGAAGTCTGCTTTCATTTCCTTTGTGGCCTCATTTTGTAGTGTCTCCTTACCTTACTGTCGTCTTATTTCTAACTTTGTCATCTTACTAAACTAGTTCTTGCCAAGGTTACAGATGACCTAGTTGCCAAATTCAGTCCCAGTATCTCAATTCTAATCTTAGCCAGATGTTCCCCAATGGTTGAAATGCCCTTCTCTTAGTTTCTTTGCCACCTCCTTCTATATATTCTTTCATTCCTTTGTGTGTGTTTTTTTCTCAGGTTCCTTTTCTTCTGTTCACTTTAAGATCGGTTTTACTCAAAATTTTTAATTTTTTTTCTCAGCCTGCATTCACTTCAGACAATCTCACGTGTACCTTCTTAGGTTCACATTAATGAGACCCTAATCCCTAATTTAGACCAATTCTCTGAGCTCCAGACTCTTTATTTTAATTGTCTTTGTTATTTCCAAGCAGATATCCCACAGATATCTTAAATTCAAGATTTTCAAAGCTGAACTCATTATGTTACATGCAGATTTCTTCTTCCAAAGATCTTCCCTTAATTGGTGACTAATGACACCTTTCACCTAAGTTACAAACTTAGGAATCATAAGAAATTCTTTCTCTTTGATCCTCCTGTTCAGTCACTAAATCCTGTGTCTTCTCAGCGTCTCTTGGTCCCATCCTCCCTCTCCCTTTGCGTTGTCACCTGCCCTGTTCATCCCCTTATTTCTTGCCTAATCTCCAGGCTGGCACTCCTACCTCTGGTTTCTCCAGCCTCCTGATGGCCACCAGAAAAATCTAATGTGATTATCATCTGGCCTCCGATTACCTCCACAGCCTTACTTCCTGAGGGCCTTTCACAAGCATCTTTCCCTTTAGAGACTCTATAACATTTGCAGTTCCTCAAATGCACCATGTTTTCTCAATTTCAGACTTGGCCTAAGATGCCCCTTTCCTTGCTATATTCTGCTTGGCTAACTCTTAGTTTTCTAGCTCTTATTTTTCTCACCCAGGCGTAGCCTAAGTGTTTTATCCATCTCTGCCAAACTAACTTACGTATTTTGCTTTTGGGCTCTCTTGTGCCCTGTGCATACTTCTGTCATAGTATTTAACACTTTTGATTAGTGTATTTTTCTCTCTGACCAGACTGTGAGTTCTTTGTGGACATGTGTTGCTTTTCATCTCTACCTATGCTATTCCTTACACAGGGCTTACCACATAGTGAGTACTAAACATATGCCCAATGAATGAGGAAGGGAGTGAGTAATTGAAAAGAGCCATTAAGCATTCTGGAAATATAAGATGCTAACTATAGTTTTGTGATTGGCGGAGGCCTGTTTAAAGGCCAGCGCTGTGTCAGTTGAATGTTGGTGGCTGAGCCTGGTCTTTAAGTGCTTTACCACCTTTTCTCGTTTTTGCCTCTGATAATTCATTGAAATGCAGCCCTACAATTAAGAGGTACAGACTTCCAGTTATAAAAAACAAGTCACAGGGATATAAAGCACAGCATAGGGAATATAGTCAATTATATTGTAATAACTTTGTATAGTAACTAGACATTATGGCGATCATTTTGTAATGTATGTAAATTTTGGATCACTATGTTGCACTCCTAAAACAAATACAATATTGTGTGTCGACTATAATTCAATTTAAAAAAAGGATAAAAGAAAAAAGAAATGCAGTCCTATAAGGTATAGCTGATTGCTGTTGATCCCAGTGTCATTGCTGTTACATTACTGTAGTTTTGAGACTTGGACTCTTTTGTGTATTTCAGGGCAGGTGACATTACAGAATTAAAAATTCTGGAGATACCAGGTCCTGGAGAAAACCAACATTTTGGAGACCTTCATCAGACAGAATTAGGCCCTTCTGGTGTTGGGTACCAAGTGGGTATCAATCAGAATGGCATGGGAAAGTTGGTCAAGAAGCCAGCCTCTTCCAGCAGTGCCCCTCAGAATATCCCTAAGAGAACAGATGTGAAGAGCCAGGAGGTGGCCGTCTCCCCACAGCAGCAACAGTGCTCGAAGAGCTATGTGGACAGGCACATGGACTCCTTGAGTCAGTCCAAAAGTTTCCGTCGGCGGCACAACTCTTGTAAGTTGGATCAAGTTAATATTTCTTCTTAACTTGATGTTTCAGGACTATAATTCTAATCTCTCCTGTTCTTTAAACAAGTCCTTTATTATCCTTAAAAAAGGATACTGGCAGACCTTCACAGAAATACGTCCTGGGTCTTTTTCCAGGGCTCTTCCCTTAAGATACGAAGGGAGAGGAAATGAACTGCTAGAGACTCCTGCCAACTCCCCGCCCTCTCCCACCACTTCCCCTTCCTTCAGGAACAGTCAGTGACCTGCCTAGAGATCACACAGACAAAAGTGATGTTGTCCTGAATGGGATCACTGATGGTGGTGATGACGTCTGAGTTGAACCTGCACTTGGGCTATTCCCGGGGATTCTTGAATAACTTCTTCCTGTGATTTGGCTCCCATCCTCGGTTAAAGGGGAGGAAGAGACTGGCATAGACGTCTCTGTGATCTTATGGTTTCTGACAGACTGACGGTGTTTTATTTGCTGTATTCACTGTCCCTACTGGTACATCAAGGAGAGCATGCACTGGTGTGTATTGATGTTCAGTTTTGTTTGGTACTGACAAATTGTTAAATGCCATTTGCTCATTGTAGAACCATAGTTAATTCACCAGAATCTGGTATGCTCTTTAACATACTCACTAAAATAATGTTGTAACAATGAATTTTAACACATTCACTAGAATCTATATGGCACCTGTGTTGGGGACCGATATTTTTAATTTTGAAAATGCCTGATTCCATGAATAAACTATTGAAGTTTTGAAGTTAAAAAAATGTATTTCCAGGCACTTCCCTTCTTAAGTAACTATCTGAACTCACAATGACTGAAAACCTGAGACTGAAATTAAATTGTTACTTCTTCTGCATCCTTTGAAAAACTGTAGAATGCTTGGATAGAAAATGACTCTTTCCATTTCTGCTTTAACCTTCTCTACTTAAGTTGCTTTATTCTTCTTTTACAAAATAAACCTTTTTTCCTTACCAGAAATATTGACTTGTTTGTTAAAAGTTCAAATATTCAAGCAGTGTATTATCTGTCATGTACTAGGAGGTACATAAGCAATTTTAAGCAAAAAAAATATTTTTTCTTACATATTCTCCCCCATTATAAACATCTTACGTTACTATTGTACATTTGTACAATTACTGAACCTACATTGATACATTATCAACTAAAGTCTGTATTTTATTTAGATTGTCTTTGTTCTTACCTAATGTCCTTGTTACAGACTCTCACATTACACTTAGTAGTCATGTCTCCTCTTGGCTCTGAGGTTTTAAACACTTCCTTTTTTTCTGATGACCTAGACAGTTTTGATCAGTTATGGTCAGATATATTGTATAATATCCCTCAATTGGTATTGGATGTTTTGGGTCATGTGTTTTGGGGATGAAGACCACAGAGATAAAGTGTCATTTTCATCATATCACATCAAGGGTATATACAGTGAACATGGTTTATGACTTTGATGTTGACCTTGATCACCTGGCTGATCACCTGTGTGTCAGATTTCTCTTCCAGAATGTCTGTGACCTGGGCATTTGATGATGAGATGAGGATTGGTTTGTGAAAGAAGGTAGAGTTCATTTATTTCTCTGTTCAGTGAACTCTGTAAGCTGAATAGAAAGGTCTGCCAGGTACTGACAGATATTCCAAGGAGATAGATTAGTTTTCTATTTCATTCATGAATGACAAAATGGAGCATTTTTCTCATTAGAGGTCTATAAATAGAATTTTCTTGATGTTGAAGCTAGTAGATTTGTAAAGCTGTAGGAATATAATCTCTTAAATTCTGGCTTTTAAGTGTTCTTTCAAGGTTGGTAATGAGCTGTGGAAGGATTTTTTGGTTCTGTTTACCTCATCCAATATTGATGAGAAATTTCGCACAAGCAATTTTAATCTCTTCCTTTGGGCTGGAGGGAGCGTGTTATAAAGAGTAGTTTCTGTCACCTTGGTCATTGAACTGACCACTCAGAATACTTGTCAAGTAGATAAATGGAACATCATTACTGGGGAGCAGAGGGGACACACCAGAGTTCCCAGAGAGCAGAGAGAAACCACTTGAGGCCTTTTAAGGATATAGGTCTGTTCAGTGTAGCAGTGATCCTACCATCTGAGGTCAGAAAGCTATTTTTTGGCAAGTTTTCATGATTGTACTGTGACTCCTTACCCTCTTTGGGTGTGTTTCATATATCCAACAGACTTAAAGACCCTGGTGCTGCTTTCGGAGCCCAAGAAGTTGACTAATTACTAGAACCTAAAATTTTGGAGTTGGAAAAAAGGTCCCAGATTCTCTTAGGCACCTCCTCACGAGGCTTGTTGAGTCTGGCATTAAAACATTTGTAGTTTGACCTTCAGGTGCTCTTTAGCATGCCAAGTGCAGGACAAAGTTCTCCTTTATACAATATGTGTGTGACAAAACCCAATAAATAAGTGGCACTGAGCGTTACACAACAATGGGTTTGTTATAATTTATCCTGGCCAAACAGCTTCTGTGCCAAAGGCTGGCAGCAAAATGGCACAGGAAGGCGGCCAACCTCTAGTCTTAACACATACTTGGCCCCTGTAAATTGAAAGGTAAAGAAATCCAGGGGCACTGTTTACCTTTTCCAAGGGAAGTGCTTTTCTCTTCCAGTGGCCAAAGGCAGGTTTAATACAGAGGCAGGTCCTTTGGGCTGAGTAAGCCAAGTATTGAGATAGCTTATTCACCCAGGACTTCCCAATATTTGTATTGAAGTATGAGGAAGGGGACGAGTAAGAAACAACTGAGTATGTTAGCCTGCTTTTCTATTTTTTAAATAGTCTCTCATCTTTTTCTTGCTGACCCTGTGATGTCAGTATTTCCTCTTCAAAATTTTTTTCACTCTGTGCTTTTCTGACAACATTTGGAACATAGGTGGACCTTGTATGTTTGTCAAATGAATGAACGGAAGATCTGTATTTAGAGGGAACATGAGGAAATTCCTGGTATCTTTTAAAGACATAACTCTGGGTTTGGTTACAAGTGATGTTTGTAGAGTCCTATGGTTAAACTGAAAATGTTTTCGCATTTGGCTGCTTTTACTTCACCCTGTCTGCTCTCCTATTGATTGATTGCTTGTCTTCGTCTGTTACTGTGATAGGTCTGGGATAGCGCATTGCCGTTCCGTACCGGACATGACCGAGCCACTTCCCTCTGAAGGTGTCGCCTCGTACCCCTCCTTGTATGATGGCTGACTCGCTCTTCCTGTCCTTTTCAGTCGCGCAATATGCTCGGCGTACTTTTTGATTGTTCCCTTTCTCATAGTTAATCTCAAATTGCCTTTTCTTTTATAACCTCTTCCGACTCAACTTTTGCTGTTTGTGTGTTTTGGTTTGTCTTTTGATATGGCTGTTTTATTTCTCGATTCAGCAGAGATTTATATGCTTACAGTAGACCAGGCATAGTGTAGGGTGACAGGTCTGAATGGCATGCTTCTGCCTTCTGTTGGCTTACAAGCTCCTGGAGGAATTAGCATAAGAAAGCCAATAACTGATCTTCTTGATTAGTTTCCCACAATTCCACAGATTGAAGAATACTGCAGAGAGAAGAAGGGGCTATAAGCACTTGGCTACAGAGTTATGGAGAAGCACCTGTAGGAGGCTCAGCTGTACAAGGAGAAAAGGTACAAGCGTTACCGGGAAGGGAAGTACCGAGATGCTGTGAGTAGGTACCATCGGGCTCTGCTTCAGCTGCGGGGTCTGCATCCAAGTCTGCCCTCCCCGATACCTAATCTAGGACCTCAGGGCCCAGCCCTCACAGCTGAACAAGAAAACACACTGCATGGCCCAGACAGACTGCTACAACGATCTGGCTGCCTGTCTCCTTCAGATGGAGCCAGTCAACTATGAATGAGTGAAAGAGCACAGTCAGAAAGTCCTGGAACGACAACCTGGTAATGCCAAGGCCTTGTATAGGGCTTGAGTGGCCTTTTTCCATCTGCAGGACTATGACCAGGCCTGGCACTACCTCCTGGCTGCTGTCCATAGGCAGCCAGAAGACGCCAGTGTCTGGCCGTACCTCCAACTAACACAGGAGGAACTCAGTAGCTACCATCGAAAGAGCAGCAGCTGTACCTGGACATGTTTGGTTAACAGGAAGAACGATGCTCCTCCCCCTGAACTTAGGTGAACCATTAAAGACCCATTGAGGGGAAAAACCTGAGCCTCAGCAAGAGAAACTAACCCCACACCTCTGACCCAAGTGGATTTCTGTTTCTAGTTCCGCACAGACTTTACTACTCACACACTCGGTGTCTCATTTTGCCTATCCATCTGTGTATTTGTATAGCCTTTAATACATGGTGTCTCGGGGGACATTTGCCTTGAGAAATAAAACCAGAAAACATTCATCAGCTATGGGTGGGACCAATCATATCTGTGGCATAGATTTTAGTGGTGGATATTGTTAGATGTATTCATATACAGCAAAGGCTAGCAGAGGGTGAAATAATACGGGAGGCAGAAAGGAGTCTCTTCCTTTGTTTCCTCGGACACCCGAAGCCAAAGTCATACAGGCTCCAAACAGAGAAATACATATGTTTTTGTGAAACTAGATGATTATAAATTGGCCTACATGGCTTAAATGGAAGATTTGAAATTAACTGTTTTTGATTAATTCCATATTTTTTTCTTAATATTCTATGTACAATCAGATTATTTTTCCCCTACAAAACTACCTGGTTCCTATTATTTCTTTGGTAATTTCTGTTACTCAGATCATTAATATAATATACTTATTTATTTTTCATTAAATGCTTCTATCTTAAAACATCTAGAGTCAAGCATTTAAGTAGCTATGTAATAACTTTTCAGCCCTCATGCCAAAAAAACACCCAAGGAAACATTTAAATTTTTAGTAGGTGCATATCTATAGTATGCTCATTTCTCTAAAAAACAGGAAAAACAAATTACCAAGTCTTATAGAAACATTACTGTAAGAGCAGGATAAAAGCATAAATCTATTCTTTCCCTGTCACCTTGTA